TCTGACGTAGACTCAGTTTCCTTGCTCTTCCTTGGGACTGTAGGAAGAATCCAGACTGGTATCTTCTGGTTTTGCTTCCTTGGGCAGGCAGGCAGGTTTCCAGACAAAGCTCATCCAGAGCTTCTGGGTTTCTGACCTAGACTGAGTTTCCTTGCTCTTCCTTGAGAGCTGTAGGAAGAATCCAGACTGATATCTTCTGGTTTGGCTTCCTTGGGCAGGCAGGCAGGTTTCCAGACAAAGCTCATCCAGAGCTTCTGGGTTTCCTGTGAGCAAAGAAGACAAAGGCAGGTTAGAATCTTGTTTCTGTCAAGAGCCAACTAAGATTCTCTAAAATGACAGAGGCTCAGGTTCGCTAACCAAACTTGGTCAACACTGCGGCGTTGAAGACAGGTCTGGTCGCTGCTTAAATAGGAAAGGTCTGCTGATGGGCTGACGAGCTTCAGGTGTGCTGGAGGGCTCCAGCCCAGGAGACCCACAGCACACTCTGCTGGAGACAGATAGTAACTCCCAAATCCCAACAGTAACCCCAGCTCTAACAGAAAACAAAATAAAACAGAAGAGGATCCTCGGCGCCCTCTGGTGGGCAAGCCTGAGGATCCCAACAAATGGATGGAATCCAATTAATTAGCACTTTCTTTGGTGAAGCATTTAAAATTTTGCCTCAAGATTCACATGATATTGGATGAAAGCGCGGTTACTGAGCGTATCTTTTGTGCGTCTTTCTAGGTAAAGGGAATGACACTCCTACCTTCAGGGCCAGGTCTGCCTGCCCTCTGCTGCCTGTAGGTGCTGGCAGACCTACTACAGTTCCCAAAGTTAACCGTATAAAAAAGGTGCATAATACAGATTGTGTCCTTGTGTCCTGAGTTCTGGCCTTCTCTGTGTTTGGCCAGATACCCTAGAAATAATGAGAGGGAAAGGCTAAAAAAAATGTTGCTGAAACTAATTGATGTAAAAGATTTTACAAAACAAAGTTTAAATTTTTTTAGAGTTTTTTTAGAGAATATTTCAAATTCTCCTGTTTCAAGATCAATTATACTGCATTATTTGCAAAATATTTTTCATTGTCTATCTGTTAAGCTTAAAACAGGAAAGTAATCCAGTATTAGAAGCTTTGAAAGATTAGACTGTCGTCCTTTAAGTAGATGAGGGATGATAATAAAGATGGCTGCTGGGCTTCCAACTGCTTACTTCAAAGGTGCATTGTATAAATCAAAACATATCTAAGACATGTTGAATCCTGTGTGCAAATGATCAACATATTGTGTACAAATCTGGTTTTACAATGGTGCATTTCTTAAGAAAGAACATACGTTAAGCGTATGCGTGCGTATGAACAGACTCAATGTGGCCTTCCCTCAAAATACATTATGTTCACATCAGACTGCCACAATCTGTTCTGAAAATAAAAATTCCATATAATAATAAACCAACATGGTTGTCATATATTAAAAGAGAAATTCTCATGACCTATTTGTAAAAACCTCTCCAGAAAATAAAAATTTCCACTTATTTTAATGTTATATCAAGTAGAAAGTTTTGTGTGTACTATTGTTTGACTTATTGTCATGATCGGTTCTCTAATGGAGACCCAAAGATGCAGAACACCACTGACGGACACAGGATGAAAAGTTTAACAAGTTTATTTGCACAATCACACTGAATATGCCGAAGGCTGGTTCGGGCCTGGATTCTGGTTTCACCGGAGTCTGCGTGAGAGACAGCACAGTTAAGGACTGTTGGCGGGGCTTGGTTTTCAATGATGCACAGATAGTACCTTGAGGGTTCTTGAGGTTCTCTTTGGGAGAGTCACTGTTGGTTCTGGAGAAGGATTGAGTAGCAGAGTCCGTTAGCTGCTTCAGCGTCTCACGTCTAGTTTGAGCAGACCTTGGCTTTGGTTTCCCAGCTCTAGCCCAGAGCTGCTTTGAGGTTGTCTGAGAATCTTCAGGGTTTGGCTCTGAGGGTCGGCTCGGCAGGTTAGCTCTTCCAGAGCTTTCACGGAGGAAGCACGAGTTTCCTAGAGGCACAGAAACAGAGGTTAGAGTCCAACTAGGGATTAGAGTCATGGAGATAATCACTGAGATCAAGGCTTTAGCGCTGACCAACTGGAACAACACTGCGGCGTTGAGGCAAGGTCTGAAGACAGCTTATGTAGTGGATCCTCTGATGATCTTGATGAGCTGCACCTGTGCAGGAGGCTCCCTCAGAGGATCCACGGCGGACTCTGCTGGAGAAAGATGGGATTTTCTCCAGCTCCCAACACTTATTACCTCTGCCAATTAAGTTATGTTTTATATCTTTGTTTTTAAAGTAATTATTTGCAGCTTCTTCAGGCTGTTTAAAGAGATGTTTCTATAACTCTGCACTCAAAACTGTTGGCTTCCCCAATGTTTTCCATTTCTATTTCTTTTGCGCAATGAGTTTGTGACTCATCCTTCAGTTGTACTGAATTATCCATGAACCTGGTATTACATGTTCTGTAGAAATGTTTTCATGTAACCGTCAGTTCCACTGTCAACAGATAAGGGGCGGGATGTTACTTGCAATCTTACATGAGAATAACATCCATTCAAAATTATATTAGGTTTTAGCAAAAATAAATCATTATCAAAATGTAGCATTTGCTGTATTCTGTAACACTTTTCATTTGGAGTGTTAATAGTTGTTACTAACTTCTCTGTTTTAATGTAATCAATAAATGATTAAATAACATGATTTCATCTGCTTTATTGCTTTGGACAGTTATTTTTGCCAGCTGTGTCCTTGTGTTCTGAGTTCTGGCCTTCTGTCTGTTTTTGGCCACATACCCTAGAAATAATGAGAGGGAAAGGCTGAAGAAATGTTGCTAAAACTAATTGACATAAAAGATTTTAAGAAACAAATTTGTGATTTTTTTTGTAGTGTTTCAGCTACTAACCGTTTCAAGACAAATTGTATTCCATTATTTTTAAAATATTCTTTTATCGTCTATCTGTTAAGCTTTAAACAGAGAAATCAACCAGTATTAGAAGGTTTCTCAGACAAGACTGTCCTCCTTTTAGTAGATGAGGGATTATAGTAAAAATGGCTGCAGGGCTTCCAACTGTTTAGGTCTGAGATGCATTGTATAAATTAAACCATCTCTAAGACATGTTGAATCCTGTATGCAGATGATCAAAATACATTACGTTCACATCAGACTACCACAATCTGTTCTTAAAATAAAATTTCCATATGATTATGAACCAACATTGCTGCCGTATGTTAAAAGAGAAATCCCATGACCTATTTGTAAAACCTTTCTTCGTGTCACAGTGGGGTTGGAGGTTTGACAGGACCCAAATGCGTACACAAAAAAAGGGTAACAGAAGCAAAATCCAAAAACAAATCCACAGAAATCCAAAAATCCTCAAAACCAAGAATACTAACAAGAAGAAGGGGACAAATGATGGCAATGACGACAAACCAGCAAAGAGTAACTGAACAGGAGGAGATTATATGGGAGAGAGAAACAAAGACCAGACTAATTAGCAGATTGGGAGCAGGTGTGAACAGAGGAGGCAAGAAGGGAGCCAGGGAAAAGGAGACTGACACAAGAGGGCAAACAGGAAATATCTAAGAGCTCAAATACAGTCAAAAATACCTAGAACACAAGAATAAAAATAATACACCAATGAAAACACTAAATAAAATTAACAAAACCAAAACCATCACAAGTCCAAAAACAAAAACAACCCACTCAGGGTGGGCAGAGGGGCAACCAGGAACGAGGGCATGAAACAAAAAAACAAAAACAGAGTTCAAACACAAAACAATCCACCAAAGGTGGGCGAGACCAAGCAAAGTCTCTGGAAGCCAGCAGTTAGGCTGGGCACGAGGCAGGGTGATGAAAGAGGACCTGACGGCGACGAAAAAGGACCTCTGGAGTCCGGCAGTGAAGACGACGACCAGAGAGGACCTCTGGAGTCCGGCAGTGAGGATGGCGACGAAAGAGGACGTCTGGACGCCGGCAGTGAGGACGGCAATGAAAAAGGACTTCTGGAGTCCGGCGACGAAAGAGGATCCCTGGAACTTCAAATAAATATTTCCACCTGCTTTAGGATGTAAAGAGAAATCTTTTTTTGTACATCAGAACATGCATTCAATACTGTTGGCTGCCCCCATTTTTTCAATTTCTATTTGTTTTGCACAATGAGTTTCATTCATACTTCAGATTTACTGAATTATCCAGAAACCTGCCAGTCTGTTGAAATGTTTTCACATAACCCTCAGTTCCACTGTTAATGGATAACGGGCAGGATTTATGTTACAAATCTGTTACAGCAATCTTACATTAGAAAACAAGGAATAAAAAGGTACATGGAGCTTTTTAACACTAGAACTACTACGGAGGGGTCAATTGTCCTTTTTACCTGAAAGCCCTACAAGAGGGTCATTTGACCTTTGGACCTCCTGCGGACACTCCTTTTGTTGTGGAAATGTAGCTGTTAGCAGCTCATAGCTGTCACAGAGTCGCTTGAGCCTAAGGCAAGAATAGAAATAGAATACTCCAAATTAAGCTGAAAACCTAAAGGATATTTGAAGAGTGATAATTTATGTTTTTTCTCAAACAATTTCACATCTAAAGTACATTTCTGAATCTTAGTAACCCAAAGAGTGATGGAATTATGCTTTTTTACATTTCTTTTATTTATCTATTCATTGTAGGACATTACATGCATTGAAACAAACTAGTGAATGCCAGTTCATCAATACAACCTTATGAGTCCTAAATAAAAAAAAAATGTTTAGGTATACTTAAAAATTTTTTTTAACTCCAGTGAAGAATATGATACATTTGTAATACTTTGTGCTAGTATAATACGTGAGCTGAAGTCTTCTTACGCACCAGACATGTGTTGTCATCATGTGCTCCTTGCTGGGATCCCTGGACCAATGATTTCATAACGGTAACCTGTTAGTTGTTCCTAAGAAAGGCGTTGTTTTGAAAGCAACGTCCCCAGGCAGTCTATGCATAATCGTTCCATGGTACTTCAGGCGAGATAATGGTTTCCAATGAATTTGTTACATTTCCAGACCGGAAATGTTCTCAACCATTGGTGTATATATAGGGGTTGGTTCCATAGAGGCAACATTGCTTGAAATCCTCAGAGGAACCTTCTGGACTCTTTTGTAGAGGTAACATGCATTTTTCTTTATATTCTAAATATTTCTTTATTTAAGGGTTTTTCAGACTAGAATAATCAGTTTAAATGAGACACTTTTTAAATCAACTGCTATGTGTAGTTCTACTGTTAGGCATCATGATGCTGCAACTAAATGGTTTTAACATGCAGATTAATCTATTGGTAGTGATTCTAAATGTATTAATGCACTCTCTCCCCAGAAGTGACTTATTGCCAAGAGAAAAAATGGGGACCTATGAGGTAAAGGTGGATACTGCTGGAGGAATTTTCCCCAAAACCACGAACTACATATATATGAGGCTGGTGGGGGAAGAAGGAGAAAGTGACTCAACATGGATTTCTGAAAAGGTTGTATACCTTTCTCTATGTGAAAATCATTTATAAGTGATGTCTTGATGTCTTTTTTTGCATCTTATCTAAATGTCATTCTCTTAAAATTCACAGTGTGAGATAAAAACCGATAAATCTCTTGGAAAATTGCAACAAATAGTGATTCACAAGGAGACTTCATTTTATATGTTCTCTGACGACTGGTTGCCAGAAAAAATAGAAGTCAAAACTCATAAAAATGAAACCTACATCTTCCCCCTGTACACCTGGATTACTGATGGTGGGAAACACTACTTCAGAGAGGGTCAAGGTTTGTGCAAATTCAATAATTTTACGCATCTTATTGCTATAAACCACATATGTCCAATAATTCTACCATAAGGCTGATGCATTAATACAGATCATTTGTCCAATGACAAAAGAATGTATCTCTCCTAAAGAAGCGCAGGCAAAGTATGAGTTTAAAACAGATATATAGCTATAAATGACTTAATTTTATCGCCATAACACAAGCTGTCCTTATTGAGCACCATTGAATTGCAGCATGTGGTCTTAATTTCGCTAAATATTAGGTCATAAGGCAGGCGGTCATGCTCTTGTAATGGGTATGAAATATCTATTCATGTTTATATTGAGAATTTAATCATTATTGAGAGAGAGAGAGAGAGAGAGAGAGAGAGAGACTGACTGACTGACTGACTGACTGACTCACTGACTCCTTAACTCTAACTTGTTGCTGTGTTTGCTTTAGCTTTTATACCCTCTGAGGACCCTTTTGACCCATCCAGTCGGCAGGAAGAGATTAGCAAACGACAAGATGCATATCGGTGAGTGCTGACAGTTGGTATAGAAATTCCATTTATGCCAACAAATTACAGTTAAATATTTATACAACTGATTCAATAACTTTTTATTTCAAAAAAAATATTTACTGTGTTAAAACTGCCTTAATGTAAAACAATAAACTGAACAACTAACAAAAACCCAAAGGTAAAAACTTGTTACTTTAACATCTTTTTAGCTGGAAAACATCTGAGAAAGGAATACCTGATCATATCAAAGCAAAAGACACGGATGACCTGCCTAAAGACGCCCAGTTCACATTCAGCAAGGCGACAGATTTTAAGATTGAGGCAATCAAAGGGTTAGTCCTTATCCTCTAGATGTTGGTTGATCGTCAAACTTTTCTGTCACTTTGCACAAACAGACAGTAATAAAACATCTTGCACATATTGTAATTCATTCATTTTAGTAACAGTGTTCCTTCTAACTTTATAGCATGGTTTGGGATAAAGTGAAATCCTTCTTTTTCGGTGATAATAAATGGTCTGGTTTTGATGAGATTGGTGCCATGATGGACTACAGCAAATATAAACTTCTGGGTATGTTCTATTATTAGGAATATATAATACATATATACATTGGCATTTTGTTAATTCCCTATAAATTCATACCCTATCACATGTAAAAAGCAAGATGTAAATTCTGTACTTTGTTACAGACTATGTCAGAAACAACTGGAAGGATGATGATTTCTTTGGCTACCAGTTCCTGAATGGTCTTAACCCCATGGTGATCAGACGCTGTGATACCCTGCCTGACAACTTTCCTGTCACTGATGACATGATCAGCCAGTACAGCAAGGGTCCCTCTAGTCTGGATCAGGAAATGAAGGTGATTTTTTTAATGCTAAAAGTCTGATTGTTACATCAATGTGATATTATTTGCCAGAAAATGTTCACTAAATGTCTTTAGATACTCTGTTGACAAATACAAAGTTCACACCTCAGGTATCAGACTAAAGCTTATTTATTTTTATCTCTACAACAATGTGGCAACATATTTCTGTGTGACTACGAGATACTGGATGGAGTAGAAACAAGAAAAATCCATGGAAAGCAGCAATACCTGACGGCTCCACTGGTGCTGCTCTATAAAACGACTGATGATAAACTGGTGCCTATTGCAATTCAGGTTAGATTTATGCATCAAAAACTAGTTGTGCTACACCCAGAAATAATTAAAGAATGATCCTTGATTGCACCAGGTTGGGGTAAGGATTAGTACACTTCAAAAAATGAACCCCATTAAGCCCAATGGAAGAGGGCGATACGGACTTTGCGTCATGTGTTGAAGTTGATCAAAAATGGTTCAGGGCCTTTTTTTCTGTTTTATTGTCTTATATTTCAAAAAATAAATCCCAATGTTGTTTTTGACACACTTTTTTTTTTCAACAGCACTTTGAATACAAAAGATCTAGATTCAGACCATCATTCTGATATGTCACAATGGCTGCTTAAAATGTGTAAACCTTTCTAAATATATAAAACTTAATTCTTACTTGTAAAATCTTTTCATTTTAAAAATCAGTTTCTGTTACAGAAATTTAATTTAGAAAATATATTATTATAGTTAGGTCTTGGAGTGTGAGGAGTGCTTTTTAATAAGTGTAAAAACGTCCTGGTACGTATTTTTAGGACACAAATACTTTGTTGGCTGGTATAAAAAACCTTTTCAATAACTCGGTGAACAACCTTGTCAGCTTTCACAATTTTCTTGCATAACATTGTTACAAATGTAATAGTAACTTTTGTATCCTGAATGTTTTATGCACAGCTTTGCAAACTTTCAAACACAGTTAATTACCGTAAATTCTCTAATATTGGCCTGTATTCCATTAGCGGCCGGGACTCTAACATTGGCCAGTCTCGCTGTCAGAGGAGGTAAATAATGGCCGGTCTCTAATACAGGCCGGGGCTATAAACGTTTTTTTCTGGGCATACCTCAACATTATACTTGTGGTAGTAACATACAAGTACCACAGCCTCTTTCCAATAAAGGCCTGGACCGCGATGCACTTGAGTGAAATAAAGGCCCGGGCCTATATTAGAGGATTTACGGTATATACAGCTTAGATTTCATAACCCTAGGCTTTGTGACAGGAAGGAGACCTACAATGTGTATAATATATATATATATATATATATATATATATATATATATATATATATATATATATATATATATATATATATATATATATATATATATATATGTGTGTGTGTGTGTATCCTTTACTCTTGTCTTTTGGAGCTTGGGGGTACCTGATAACACTGGTAACCCGCCACCCCAAGCACTCTGCCATTCTATTATCCTTTATTTTTTGTTTGCAATAATCACTAATGAATTTCATTCCAATGCATAAACTAACCCTTACCCTGCCTTATTGTTTTATAGCTGAAACAGGAGCCAGGAGCAGACAACCCAATTTTCCTTCCTACTGATCATCACTATGAGTGGTTGTTGGCAAAAACCTTTGTAAGAAGTGCAGAATTTAATTTGCATCAGCTCAACTTTCATCTGCTGCGCACTCACCTGCTGGCTGAGGTCTTTGCAGTGTCCACTCGGCGCAACCTACCTATGGTTCATCCACTGTACAAGGTAAGTGAACCTGCAGGCTTGGTGACCCTATTTCTTCCTCTGCTATTTTCTCATGTGGGGTTCCCCAAGGCTCGGCCCTGGGTCCCATCTTGTTTCCTCTCTATTTACTCTTGCTATGATACATGCTCAAAAAGCATGTTTTTTTTTTTTTTTTACCATTACTATGCAACCGACAGTCAAATTTATGTCCCTCTTAAAAAGAAAGATGCTTGCTCTATCACTATCTTAATCAAGTGTCTTGATGACATAGAGGCCTGGATGTCTCTGAACATTTTACATTTTGATGAAAAAATAAAGCCATTCTTGCAAGAAAATAGTCTGAAATGGTAATCCACACATTTTTTACTACTCGGCTGGATTATTGCAATGCCCTCTATGTGTCTCCAGAAGTTTCAGCAAGCTTCGGCCCGCCTTTTAACCGTCACACGCAAGTATGAGCACATCTCCCCCATTTTAGTTTCACTCCACTGGCTGTCCATATATTTTAGCATTCCCCATCATACTGCTCTGTGCTTCTACATCCTTATAGACCTATACTCGCTCTCGCAGGTCAGCTGCTCTTGATGGAGCCTAAAATTAGGTGGAAGCTCAGAGGGGACAGCGTTTTTGCCATTGCCATTTGATTTTATTACATTTCATTCTTTCCATCTCAAAAAAAACAAACAAACAAAAAAACAAATATGTTGCCTGGAAGTTATTAAAGAATCAAAATAAATACAAAATAAAATATATAAACCTGTATTTATAAAACTGGAGCTCCATGATGAATTTGGAATTTGGAACAAAATACAGAACAAAAATTATAGTCAGACTTACTTAATTGGTTTTACTTTGTTTTAATTCAGACAACTGGGCTTCTTTGATGAGCTCTGATAGCTCAGTGTGAAAAACAGTTGATCCCAAGCTCTACATCCAGGCTACCGTAAATGCGTATGGCCATTGTTTCTTACTTTAAATGTCCAACTTCCTCCACATTTTTTGAATTAGCTAATGTTTATGTTTGGCACCAGAAAAAGCAAAAAACAAAAAAAGGAAAAAAGGTGAGGGTTCATGAATTTTTTTCTCTGTCCTCAGCTTCTCATACCCCACACTCGCTACACTCTGGCTATTAATGTCCTGGCTCGACAGATGCTAATATCTGAGCATGGTGTCTTTACAGAGGTGAGAAAACATTGTTTGTTCAATAATGAAATTTATGTTTTTTAAATGAAAACAATTTAACTTGGACTACATTTTTCATTAGATAGCAGCTTCGGGTGGAGAGGGTATGTTCCAACTCCTGAGGAGATCCTTGTCCAAAATAAAGTACAGATCCCTCTGTATACCTGATGACATTGAAGATCGCGGGATGGACAAAATTCCCAACTTCTACTACAGAGACGACGGAATGAAACTGTGGAACAGTCTACACAGGTAAAATTGGTTATGGTTGAAACTTGAATAATCCATCCATCCATCCATCCTCTAGCACGCTTATCCCGAGTGGGGGTGCTGGTGCCTATCTCAAGCAGTCAATGGGCGAGAGGCGGGATACACCCTGGACAGTTCGCCGTTCCATCGCAGGGCACTTGAATAATCAAACATATGAAATATGTTTTTCATTCAGTAACTATGCTGGTGAAGATTCTCAGTCATCCAGATCATAGTCATTTCAAAACATTAAAATCAATCCACTAGACTTTGCTTCCAAGTTTGAAGATGTTACGCTTTCCATCCAGGAAGCTTTTTCAATTAAAAATGTCCATAACAGCATTGAGTTTGAGGCTTTATAGAGGGGAGCAAAAACATAGCCTTGTTTTGGCTTTGAAAACATGCAAATTGAACCGGACGAAAGGGTCCGCCCCTAAGGAATTGACAGTCATTTGGGTTCTTGTAGACAGCAAATCCCATGATGCTTTGCGAGGACAGCACTCCGCGCAAAGCATTCCAGGATATATCCGTATATTCTGAGGCCTTGCTTTTCATCTCATACACTTTGTTGACAATTTTTCTCTTCAAAAATTATGGCTCACCACAAATGTTCGCCTGACATAATAGACATTATTTTATCTTCCAACTCCTAATGTTCTCTTGTGTGTGTGCTCTGCACAATGACATAATCAGCATTACAAACATAAATTTAAAGACACTAGATCACTGTACTGTATTCTCCTTTTCAGCTTTTATAACAATTTATATTACACAATAGCAGATATACAGCAGATATAATTTTACATACTTTAAAGTGTAAGTTGTCCCCATCTTTTTCATAAAGCTGTGGAGTAAGTCTTTATTATAATATTAATCTCTTTTGAACAATGCAATTCTCTATCTGCAAAAGATTTGTTTCAGGAATCCTGAAACACTACTACAAGACTGACAAGGATGTGAAAGCAGACGCAGAACTGCAGGATTGGATAGGGGACATTTTTAAACATGGATTTCTTTCCAACAAAAAATCCGGTAGGTTTTCAGTTTAACTCAAAGAAGAAAATTCAACTGTAAGGTTCTACATTTGGGGATATATGCCATGCCCCCTCTTTTAGAATTGATAGTCAATGCAGTTTGGCTGGTTTTGTGGTACAGACTTGGTTTTCATCCTCACACAGATTAAGATCAAAGGCTTTAGGGATTACTCAGACTCAACATCTCGATCAGGGTTAGTTTGTTTGTGATTTGCTTTGGATAAGTAAAGGTGCAGGCCTTAAATTTAGAGGAAAAGGGTGATAGAGTTTTGGAGCAGCAACAGCTCAAGTTCCCGGTCAGCTTTTAACATGTACACAGCAAACTCAGCCTCACTCTAATTACTAGGAATGCACAGATGTTAAAGGGCAAAAAGTCCTTAATTAAGACTTACTATACACACTATTAATGACTTATCCCTGGTCTACACCAGAGGTCTTCAACAGGGGGTCCGCGACCCCTAGGGGGTCTGCGGAGGTACTGCATGGGGGTCGCGAAAGTCTTGGTTGATTCCTTTTTTTTATATTCCCTCCTGCAATTTTTTGCACTAATTAAAATGTCTTTAAATACACATTAACATGAATTCAACACACTGTAGTAAACAGATAAATGAAAGCAGAAGATGTCTTTCAGTCATCAATGCACACATACAGCGACACACAGGAGCTCTTTCAAACCTGGGCACCGTTTCATTCACAACACCTGTCCCATCAACCAGGAATCAGATTCAGAAATACTTGAATAATCCCAGGGAGAAATTACTTTCGTTACATGACTCCATATGTAATAGAGTGACTATAGGACCAGTTTGATAGAACACAATTTCATACAATATATATAATTAGGGGGTCCCCGCTCCATCTCGCAATCAGTTTGGGGGTCCTTGGCTTTGAAAATGTTGAAGACCCCTGGTCTACACTAAGAAAGTCTATTGATCAATAGAATGAAAAATAAAAAGCTTTACGGTTGCTCAACTCAAAAAGTTAGCTGATATCACAAAGGATTATTTTAAAGAATTAAAAGAGCACTGTCTAAAATCCTCATTGGCTTTAAAAATTTTTGATAAACATCAAGGTTCAGTTGTACAAACGTGATCCTTACCAATGTATTCTATCGTTTCTAGTGAACCATCTCCTTAAATATCAGATTTAAAAAGTGTGGTTAATTTCCAAGAACCAGTCTGAAGCTTAATATTCTCTTGCTTTACCTATTAACTGCAAAACTGCTTTTGATGGTTGTTTTTGGTCATTGTCCTACTGGAACATCAATTTTCTTTTAACTATTGATCTGATTCCCCTTGCGGTGAACCCACCTTGTACAATACAATAGTTAGTCGAATAGAACAAAACATTTGTTAAAGCTATACTTGGCTCAATATTCTGCTTCATCTTGATTCTTCCAATCTCTTTCTATAATTGTGATCAGATGGCGCAGTTATGTGACCATTGAAAATGTCTTCAGCCTTCAATTTGTGCAAATTTAAAACATTTAAAATGTATTCAAGTTTGAGAAACCCAAACTATGATAATGATAATGTTAAAAATATTGAGTCCACGTAAGCCTTTTGGATGAGCTGTATATAGTGGAGGCATACAATCTTTTGAATAGGAAGCAAGAAATGTATATATGTCTGCATTTTTTTTTCTTTATTAGGAATCCCAAACAAATTTACAACAGTGGCTGATCTGGTCAAGTTCGTCACCATGGTGATCTTCACTGGCTCGGTCCAGCATTCTGCTGTGAACTCTGGACAGGTGAAGCTTTGTGTTTTATAAAAATATACTCAGCAATGTTGTTTAGATCTTGATGGATTAATTATCGAAAAATTTAAACTAAGCTGAACTATGCTGATTCATCAGTTTTATTTATGTGTACTTTAATCACTATGTAATGGTGTACTCGTGCAATACTGAACAACTAAAAAACTTTTTAAAAATGCTATAAATTCCTGTATTCCTGTGATTGAAGATGTTAAAGTTGTGTAAAGTTGTGAGCCAAAAAGGTGTTTGTTAGTGTTTACAATCACTGTTGTAAATATTCCCCATTCTGGTTTTCACGATTGTTAGCTCTAATGCCAAATAAATTATTCTGTTAGATCAACTGTAATTTAATTAATATTATTTTTTTAAATCCAGGTCAGAGTAGGCCCCAACAAATCAAACTGTTGATTAAAAATGTTCTATTAATAATGTTTTTACAATATTTATCCCTTAAATCTTATGACAAGTTATTTATTTACCCCAGTTCGACTTCGGTGGCTGGATGCCCAACCTGCCGAGCTCCATGGGATGTCCCCCACCAACCAAAAAGGGGAAAGCATCTGAGGCCACCCTAATGGAGGCACTGCCAAACAAATCAGTAACACGTCGTACCGTGGAGACCTTGTATTTGCTGACTCAGACGTACAGTGACTTTGTAAGTGGGAAAACCTCAAAGAACTATCTTTATTATTTCTGATTTGCAAAATACATTGGTTTTGTCTGTATGTGTATTACTGTATTTTCCAGCTTTTAAGACAAATCAGTTAAATTAAGGATAGTTTTCAGTATGTTTTAAAATGTTATTTGTGCTAAATCAGTTTGCCGTTTGTAAAAATATTTAGAAATGTTAATAAGTTTATATGCTTGAAAAGTGAAAAGCAAATGCATTTTATATATGTTTCTTAATAATACTTTTAGTTGGTATAACTTGACCAAAATTCAAATATCAGTCGAAACTATTTTTACATATTTTTTATTTCCTCAGGTCGCTTTTGGCGATTACCCAGAGGAGCACTTCACTGAGAAGGAGCCCCGCAGGCGGATAGAAGCATTCCAGAAAGAGCTGAAGCAGCTGAGTGATGAAATCAAGAAAAGAAACAAGAAGCTGGATTTCCCATACGAATACCTGGATCCAGAAAAAATCGGAAATAGTGTTACTATTTGAAAACTGGATGTTTGAACCTCTTTTCAACCAGATTTAGCAACAGATTCACCAAAAATATACATATATACACTTATCTGTTCAATCAGAGTTTAATAATGAATATCTGGGTTTTTAGGTGACTTTTTTTAATACTTCTGGTGTGTGGATGTTATGGTGATAGTTTTCTTCTTCCACAAATGTTGAATGATTAAAACAGATGTCTATGTGGAAGTTGCAGAGAAATATTTACCATTTTTAAGGGTTTCTTTTTTTATCATTTAGATGTGGGTTTTGTCAGAGATTTCCCAAAAATAATTAGCCTGGGGTAAAGTGCTAAAAAATACCAAGGCAAGAAACAGAAAACATTTATTCACAGTATAACAATTAGCGTTTTCTAACAAAAAAGTTTTCCTTTGTTTATTTTATTCAATATCTTTTGCATACATAGATATGACATGCAGGTTTAATATGGGTGGTGGATTTACATGAGTTATTTTCTTTGGTAATATTATAGGCTAAGTTGATCTCACGAAGACTTTGAAAACAAAAAGGTTTAATTCTTATTCTTTAGGCAATGAGATATATGCATTTCTAGTGGTTAAAAAATGTAGAGGTACATTTAAGATGTGATACACATTATGGTACATAGAAAAATAATTTTGAACTGTCAGTTGTAAGATTGAAATCAACATAAATGTACTGTTAAACTAAATCGATAAACTTTCTAATTGGTGTTGGGAAAAAAAATTGTTTTCTTTTCTTTAAACACCAGCTGGATCTCTTTTTATTATTAATTGTGTCTCTGTATGCGTACTTATTTCATTTTTGGAGTTTGCAGAAGTGCAATAACGATAATACATCTTTGAAACTTATATTTGAAGGTATACATAAAAGATAGGTTGACAGGTGATTATCCAAGTGAATAAAAATGTATTTTAGTTTTATCATTAGGCTTACAAACCTTATTTTGACTAAGCAGACAGAATGTGTCCTTTTTCCGAGTCTTAGTTTTTATAATTGTTGGTAAAAACATTAAGGGGAAAATTTAAAGAGCAAAACTTTTGCTAAGTTTGGGTCAGCTTGGGTTACCACATTGTACCACTAATGGAGCTGGAAATTCAACTGAAGAAACCCATTGTTCCACCTTCGTCATAGCCAATCAGCTTTGAACCACACCTCCACTAAAGCCAATCAGCATCCAGAGCTCATCTTAAAAGGCTTCCGATACGCACCTGTGTGACTTCATTCAGATGACACTGTTTCAACTCAAAGTGAGCTTCGGATCCTCAGCCCTGGCTGCTGCTCAGATCCTATCCTCTGACACGCCTGTTGATCCATGCAATGCTGCAGAGATTGGCGGCTCCACCACGCCCTGTTCCCCATCTCCAAACATTTCTGTTTCAGCCATCAGCAGTCAGCTGGCTTGCTCTGCCTTCAGCTCACTGACACTGATTCTCTGCAGGTGAGACTTATTTGCTCCAAGGCTTTAGTGTTTCCTCATTCATACCTTCAGCGCATTTCTCTATAAAAAAAAAAAAAAAATATTCAGATTTACAAGTGCAGATCCCATCACATACATCTTACAGATAGTACATTTTATTGATTACATTGATAAATTCACATGTTATGTTGCAGAGAATGTTTTGTGTGTCCAAGGTTTTAAAGAGACAATAATACTAATACAGTTGACGGGTTCATAAAATGTAGGTTTTTGCAAAAGAAGAACTGAAATACAAAATTATGGATACAATTTCTGCAGAAAGGAGAGACAGTTGAACCCCAGACTCAAACACACTGTTTCTCACTGGACCTCCTCCGCAGAGTATTTTATTAACAGAACATGACGCATGGTTACAGAGTATTGTTCTGACAGAACAATTGATCAGTTCATGAAGACAGAATGCTCCATCAGAATGATAAAGCAGGATGGTCTCCTGACTGAATCATGAGATAGGAGTGGAGCATCCCCTTGCAAAAATGTTTTATAAGCACACATTAATTTTATAATTCCTTTCCAGTAGTTTAATAGTTTTGGGCAATCCCAAAATATATGGGTGAGATCTCTAATTAGTCCACAATCCCTCCAACAGTTGTCTGAGGTGCGGTTAAATCTAAATGTGGAAAGAGGAGTCCTGAAAAATCTCACTTTAATTTTCCATTCAAATTCTCTTAACATTGGGCTATTTGATATTTTATGACCCTCTCGAAACATTTTCTCCCAGTCCTCATCATTGATTATTACATTAATATCTAGTTCCCATTTTCCTTTAATACCATATATTTTGTATCAGTTATTACTTCCTCTTGCAGTATTTTGTAAATATAGGATATGAATTTGGTGTTTATATTTCCTTTTATTACAGAGAAATAAAATCTCTATGTTTGAGGGGGTAATTGTAAGTTTTCCCCTTCCCTATGTTTCTGCAGATAATGTCTCATTTGTAAATATTTATACAGATCATGTGTTGGAAGATCGTATTTTCGTTGAAGTTGTTGAAAGGGCATTAGGTTTGCATTTTTTAAACATTTCATCTATTCGAATCAATCCTTTTTCAACCCAGTTATGCAGTCCAGATGTAGGAAGAAATTCAGTGTTATGGTCAAGCTGTATTATTCTACATAATGAATTGGGTAGATTTAGTATCTTTTTGATCTTTGCCCAGGTCAGTAGAGTAAACTTAACCCATTCGTTATTAATTTTATTCTTTCTCCATGTGTTTTGGTTAACAAATGGGATAGTTATCAAGAAGTATGTCTTGGGAGTCACCTTGTTCCATCTTGTACCAAATTGTATCTTTTTCTTGGCGTATCCGTGTTATTATTGATCTAGTTTGTGCGGCCCAATAGTATTTTGCTGGATACATTTCAAAAGCCATTTATTCAGAATATTAAATATGGACATGGGTATTTTTATAGGTGAGGTTTGAAAAAGTCAGATTTCAGAGACCATCAATACAGTAAAATGGAGGAACAAATCAAATCCCAGCCTTGAAGAACATTTGGGCAGGAAATCAGTTGTGAAAGTTTAAAACGTAAGTTGACTTTTTTTGTTTTAACCTGAATCAAGTTGAGATAATCTGTTCCTGTTTCTGTCAGAACCGGTCCCAAAACCCACAGTGTCCATAAAGTACAACCATGAGAAGGATGCCTGGAGTCTCACCTGTGAAGCCCAAGTCACTGCTGACTTTGGACCTGTGACGTATAAATGGAAAACAGGTGACACAGAGTTGTCCACCGACAAGGAGCTGCTGATAACAAAGGTATGAGGATGAGAAACCCTGGAAGTACTCAGTAGAACCTTCATGGTTTGGTTTAGAGTTTTCTATTTATTTCTCAGCAGAATAAGGAAAGCTCCTTTTTCTGTGAGTTGGAAAACTCTGTCAGCAGGAGCTCTAGTGAAACAGTGAATAACCCCTTTATCAGAGGTGAGATAGAAACATTCCCATCTATTCTTTATAGTTTACACCTTAAATCAAACAAAAACTTCATATCGGGATTATCTGTGATACAATGATGTTAAAATTTATTGATCGTATTGATGTTTCCTAAAATAGCGTTTTCCCCCATTTGCATATTTCAGATCAATAACTGAATGTGATGTATCAGACAAAGAGAGCAGACATTTTTTTAACTGATTACTGACTTGCTCTATGTTATAAAGTAACTACTCCCTAAACCTAAAAAAAAAAAAGATTTTTTCTTTTCAACTTTGCAGCAACAACTGCTGCTAGCTGGCAATTAGTCTTTAACATCACTGTTGAGGAAACAGCTGTCTCGATGTAGACATGTCGGAGTAAACAACCTGCTTAAGGTCATGGAATAGAATCTAAATTGGATCTAGGTCTAGACTTTGACTAGGCCCCTCCTTAACTAAGTTTTTCTTTTTTAATCATTCAGAGGTCCTGGTGCCCTTCACTACATCCTCCTGCTGCAGAACCCAATATAGTTATATAGATGACTGGACATGGTCCTTTAGAGATTTATTGTAGAGAGCAGAATTCATGCTTGAGTTAATTACAACAAGTCATCCAGTTCCTGGAGCTGCAAAGTAACACATACCACCACACTACTACCGCCGTGTTTGACAGTGAAAAAGCTAGATAAAAAGGCTCCTAAACTCATAGAACTGAAACTAAACACATAAATCTGATTATGGATGTGATGCAAAATCATAATTTAGGAAAAAAGAAAAGCTTTTGTAGCAGGCAGTTGCTAAAATGTTATTGAAATAAACAGCTCACTTTGGAAATAATAAATGGCATTAATGAAATGTCACTCTGATGCTACTGCAGTTCTAAATGTTCTGAACAGCCAGACTGATTTACATCTCGCTGAAGTAAGTCTGGCTGTTCAGGCTATAAGAATTCACCACTGAAATGTTTAAGAAAGCTGAAACACCATCCATGGGATTAACTGCTATGAGCTCATCCTCTAAGGGAAGATTTGGGACTGTTTTATCTGCAAAGACTTGGATTTATTAGATACATTTACTGACAGCAACATTGTTCTGCAGGCGAACAGTCGTCGGTCTGAGAAGCATGCAGAGAAAGCACGAGGACGATCTGCTGAGAGGAGAGGAACACATGGAGAAATGAACTGGATTGGTAAACAATCAAAGTAATGTATATTTCCAGTGTTGTTGAAGCTACAATCAGAGAGAAAATTGGAAAATAAACTCGGCACTGATGGGATGGATACTGGTTTGAATTAGAATGTGTATACATATACTTTGGTTACAGTTATTGGGATAAAGATATGCCTGAAATATAAAATGTTTTGACGTTTTGGATTTTGAGAGAAGTGGCACAAAGCCAAAGTTTAAGAATGTTATAGAAATGGACAAGCGTTTCAGACTCACTGGACAAATGATGAAAACTCTCTGACCTTATAAAGACAGACATGTTTCATATTATTCTGTAGGGAAGGGTTTGACTTGCCGAAAAGGCACTTTAAAGAAAGAACCAGCAATCGGTGCATTCATGGATGTTAAACATCTGAAATAGATAAAACATCATACAAAAAAAAAAAGAGGCTTGTCCGCATATTTAACTTGAGTGGTCCATTTCAAAGGTCAAACCAGTCTGGATCTATGTTGTAGTCTTAGGAAAGTTTACTCCCAGCTTTAGCAAATAAACAGGAAGTAAACTGGAACTTTTATGCCATTTTATTATTCTAGTGCAACTATTTTATCCAGCATGTTTATACTGCAATCAATTATTTGTCTGGCCATTTGTTACCTATTTATCTTAAAAAAAAAAAAAAAAAAAAAACTAAAATCAATAGTAGTATGGATGGAATAATAAAACACAGACTAACAAACTGCTTTTTATTACAATAAACAGTAAAGGCCAAACTGGTGTGTATTGCTTGAAAAAGAAAAACGGCAACAAAGCCCACACATGAAATTTACTACTAACCTGCAGCAGCCTAACTGTATTCCTATTATTTCTCATTTATTATGTAGCAGAAAAATTATATATAATAATAATAATAATAATAATAATAATAATAATAATAATCACAATTGCAATCGATCACATTAGCCATTGTTCTGTTAAATCCAATATGTAGTTAATATGTTGTCTTTGTAAAAGTCAGAAAATTGGGCTGAAATTGATTTTTAAATTTAGATTTTTTTTAACTTTCCCCCCAAAAACCTTAATGGTAGTTGCATGGACTATCTCAGAAATCCTAATCATGAAAGCAGGTTCCACCTGCCAAAGGAAAGGAATTAATTTACATAATTATAAACACTTGATATACATATTTATAAAAACTGGTTTACATATTTATAAAGACTGATATGCGTATTCATACAGCACCACTTCCTGATGAAAAGTGATTTTAGAAGATATCTGTTAATAATTTATTTGTTCCCATTCTGTTCACTCCAGTTAAATAAACGGAAATCAATGGATTTCTCAGTCGGCATTTTATTTAATCTTTGCAAAGACAAGACATCATACAGCCTTTAGTGCATGGTAATCAACCCTGTTCTGATCTGGCCAGCATTTGTCTCCCTTACTTATAATTATGGAAATGCTGTTAAGGTTTTACAGACTCAAACACTTTGATTTAACAAGAATCTGGCTTGTTATAGGAATATAAATTCTTGTATGCAAACACTCCTCAGACATTTTGTGTCCTTGCAGATGAAACCGACTGAATAAAAACATTTTCTACTGGATAAATAGCATATGTCAATATGTGAATGAGGGAAATCTAAATTTCCGACGACATCATTTAAAAAGTCACACATTTTGGTTAATTTAAAATAAGTTTTCACATTATTCTTTCTCCTCGCTGTAGTGATGGAAAAGATGTACTTGCATAAATGCTGTGTTTAAATATATTGTGTACTTGAAATTATAGACCTTGGTAATTGGTCATTTTAAAAAGATTTTGCTACAAATATGACTACTTTATTTTTGTGAGGTTTATTTTTACATTGAATTAAGCCTAAACAAAATTATATTGGACTCCAATTATGTCTTGAAAAGAAATGTTTTTCTTTTTGTCTTCATTTAAACACAACAGCAGTAGCTTTATCCTTTTTTTTTTAGTGTTATCTTTTCTAATTTTGTCTCAATTTTTGTGATGAGCTGTATGAAGGCTGTTTATGATGTCTCTGTTTGAAAAAGGCTTGCAAAAAAATCTAAAACCTTTGCACACAGCAAGTCAAACGTCCAAATGTTATCATGACACTATGTCTTTATCACCATAAACTTAAGAGAAAAAACATGTGAATATGTGATTAAAGTTTTCATATTAGTGAAGAGGAAAAAAAAATCTGATCACTGTAATTAGATATAATCAGATAATAACTGTAAGTTATTAAGATCTATGTAGGGTGTTTTCATTTAGGATGCCTTTGCTCTCTGTAGCAGCTTAATTCACAGAAATGTTTTAAGTTCATAAATTGATGATTGGTTGTAGATATTTTTGTATTTCTGTCCATCAAGTACAGTTTTGTTTGAAATCGGTTGAAAAAATAATAAAAAGGAGTCGTCCTGTCGGCAAAGTGTTTGGAATTGGCCGCATACTTTGTGTACATTTATTTATTACCTCCCATATATTTTTATTTCTCCACATTATGATTGTTGAATCTGATTTATCAGAGTATTCTAAAAATGAATGTATTGAACTATATATTAACTATAACAATTGGTGGATCATCCATGGTAAAATAGGAGAAAATGTACATTATCTTATTTCAAGTGCAAAATAGGAAAAAAATATTTTGTTTTAGGGGCCAAAATACCCAGTATTCTATTGGGAAAAATGTAAACAAATAGTTTTAATGAGGAATAAATTAACTTTTAACATTTCTATTTCTTGCTTTACTTAGGCGCATTGCAGGATGGTAACATTTAGTTGGTTCTATTAAGTAGCTGGGTCTGAGTGGCCTTCAACTGTACCGTAGCTTTCTTGTACTTCTATGGTACTGCCAGAGGATGGCGCCCACATCTCTATAATTCTACTCATCAAGCCTATTTAGGCTCAAATTGACTAAGAAACTGCAATCAGAATGAATAATTGGTGTATCTAACCTTATTTGATCATAATCATCAGTTTTTGATGTTTTTTTCATGGTATACAATGCGAGTGTACACCTTAAATGATAGTCCTATGATGCAGGAGCATATATACTAATATGTTGCTATTTCATAATATTATGGAATATTGCAGCTAAATGTTAAACGTTCAAAAGAATACCAATTTCTTCCTTCCCTCTAAATTTCTTTAATCTTATGTAGGGACTGTGGCTTCTTTTTGAACCTTTTTCCTGTTTAATTTTTGTAATCCCAGAATCTTTCTGTTGCCTATTTAGCAGATCTCTCCTGTTTAGGAGCAACTCATTGGCCGCTGGTTCATTTTTATATCAACTTTGTCAGATCAACTTGAAACTTTGCCCCTTGGTATCGGTCACACCTGTCTTATCTGAACTCTCCCTGCTGCTGGATCAGTTTTTATTAGTGATTATGAGGATAAAGAGTACAGAGAGGTAATATTGCCTTCTCGGTCATTGCACCAAGACTGTGGCATAAATTATCTTTACATTTCAGGCAGACTGACTGACTTTTTGTTTTTTAACATTCTCTTTTTTTCCTTTTTTCCTCACTTTTTAACAAGTTTAAGGAATTGGATTTGTATTGGTCTCACCTGCTATCTATTTTAGTTATATTTTTCATCTCTTGCTTTATCATCTTTTAGAAGGTGTTAAGAACTTTGACCACCTGAGTTTCATCTTAAAACTTTTTAAAATAAAGTTGAGTCCAGCTTTAAGAGTTCTCGGGTTTATGTTCTTCTAAGGCATTCTTTAAAATCAAACTTTTCGACTGAACCTCAGATCTGAAAAGCACATGGAGAGAACAGATCGGAAAGAAAATGTCATTTATGTTGATATAATGAAAAAAAAAAAAAAAAAAATCCCTTAGCAGTTGTTGGGAGATGGCAGCTTGTTCCCACCCCTGGTTCTGAACAGATGGATGTAGGAGATTATTCATGATGTGCTATTGGGGCTGCAGGAGAAAAATATGCTTTGAGAATATTTATTATATGGTATTTGTTTGTTTTGGATTCAAACAAACTGGAATTGTTTTGTTCCGTCAAACAAGAGAATAAAGTTCAGACCTTTGTAGGATCGTCTGCTTCTTTCTTCCACTTCTGGAGTTTCTAAATAAAAACTTTTTAAAATATCTGCTCAGATCAGTGTTTCTGTCATGGAAACCAGATTAACTGAAAGGTTCGAACAGCTTACAGAAAATGTTGGCATTAGTTAATGTTAGCATTCCTCCAAATCTCCCCAGGAACCTGAAATGCTTCAAAATATTGGAGATTTCAGAAATAGTTGTGGGATAAAAGCAGGTTCATTTTTCAGAAGATGTTGGTGATGTCAACAGAACGGCTCTGGTTATCATCACGATCATGTTACTTTGGAAAGCTTATTTATATGCATTTATTCAGAAATTTTGTATTTTCTAGATGTCATCATTTTCCAAATCTTACTCTAGGCTAAACCAGATTATAATATAAAAAACAAACTTTATTAATCTCACACTGGAGAAATACATTCTCTGCATTTAACCATTCCCCTCGGGGAGCAGTGGGCTGCCACTGTGCGGCGAATGGGGAGCAGTGTAGGTTAAAGGGTTTTGCTCAGGGAGCCAGGGTGCAGGTTGTGGGGATCCCCCTGGCTACATGCAACTTTCTCAGAGCAGTACTCTAACCACAAGGCCAAAACTCCCCCCTGTTGGGATTCCAGTTATGACGAGGGCTTCTGCACCTCTCTTCTGCTTTCACTTTGGTCTGTCCTGTGCCTCCAACACCTAAAATCTACAGTATCTCCTCCTCCCACTGAGGAGCTGGTGATTGAGGAATCCCCTCTACCTCCATCACCTCCTATGAGAACAGCTAGACAGAGAACCCAGTGATTCTCCCCCACAGTGGTGGCAGCGTTATGATGTGGGGAAACTTTTTTATGGGAACCTGGATGGAGCAAGACACTGGAAGAAAACCTCTTTTGTTTAAATGGCCTAGTCAAACTCCAGTCTAAATCCAATTGACCCAAAAACTCAGAGACTCCTGTTTATGGATGTGAACTATACATCTGGACTCTGGTTTACTCATTCATTCTGACATGTGAAACAGTGAAAGTCAACTACTAGTCTTAAACCAGATTCTGCGAACTTCCTTTTATGGTAGAGGAAGGCATCTAATCCTAACACTGCTGAGAAACTCCAATCAAACAGGCGTTTGATTTACCATAGGTAAAAGTTCTACTTCTTCCTGTCAATAATTTTCAGATCTCCGTCCCTCTGTCAATTATTCACTGCAAGTTACTTTCTTTTTTGCTATCCCATATGCATTTCGACCTCATCTTTTTTTCTTTTTAACTTAATTATTTCTTTTCCTATTCAGGATCACAATCATCAGAATGACTGCTGACATTCATTTTTAGAATGATCAGCTGAAATAGTTTTTGGTGTCAAATCTTTTCCAAGTTATGACCATGTTCATTATCTGGACTCTCTCTGTGGTTCTTCTCATCAGCTCGGCCCAACTAAACAGTGGTGAGTATAAGAATTGATTTAACGATTTTCTAGCTTTCTTTACAGGATAAGTACAGTTTTTCATAAAGATAGACATAATTTGATTTTAGTGCCATGAGTTGGCTATTACCTCAAAATAATAGACGCTAAAGTTTTAAGTTTGTAAGAGTAGAAATAAGGATCGCTATTACCTCTGCAAAGGAGGTTTCGGTCAGGTGAGCATACCCATAGTCAATACCAGTTTATCCCTTTAGTTTAGTACGAAAAATACACCTGAAACTACTTTAACGGGCGTGTGTCCCTTTAGCAATGTACAAAAACAATTGAATTACTTACTTTTTGGTGTTTTTTAAATCGTATGGCGATCTCATCTTTAATGTTATTTCTTTGTACATGATTTTTTATTTTTTTTTAATTTTTTTAAGGGATGCACAGCCCTTGACGTAGTTTAAAGTCTATGTTTTGCACAAAAGTAAAGGGATTAATGCAAATCTGACGTCTTGCACATGCGTATCGACTATGGGTATGCTGGTCTGACGGGGTATGCTAATCTGAGAACAGAGGTTATGTTCTTAGGTTTGTCTGACTGTCTGTAAACAGTGTAACCTGAAAAGTTATGGGTGGATTTTAAATAACATTTATTTCAGAGATGTCCCTCATGCCAAGGAATGTTTTATTTTTGGTAATTATCCAAATGATAATGGAGGACCAGCTCTTCCACATTTAGAAATAAATACCGAAATAAATAAATGCTCAATAAATAAATAAATGTACAATTAATTGCCACAAAATATACAACAAACAAATAAATGTAGGTAGAAATTTAATTATACAGTGAGACATAAATGTATATATCCCTTTTAATTAGTTTCTTTATTTATTCGCCTTTGCAATAATGACGTTATTTATTTATTTTCCGTTATAATCTTCAACAATATTTATTAATTACCTTTTTTTTAAGCATTTATGTGCATCTTATAATTTCTTCTTCCTTAGTATTTTTTAAGTATTTATTTCTGCCTGTCGTTTTTACATTTCTGTATGCATTTCTGCCTCGTTATGCAAATGAGGAGGGGCTGTGTCTTAGAGGGTCAACTTCTGCCCGTTGGTTGGTTAGCATTTACTGCATTGGTCGAATCTACAGGAGTAGAGGAGAGTCTAAGTCACTGGCTGTTTCTCAATTCATTAGAACACGAGTATGGTGCTCGCCATATTTATGCTGTGTGCTCACGTTCTCCCTGAGTCCATACTTTCTTGTGTTCTTCTCAAGAACATACTTGGCCATATCATAACATGCAAATAAATAATTGTGCATCAACTATCATGCACATAAATAAATCCTTAAAAACATAAGTAATAAGCAGCATCCAAGAAAGGCTCCTCTCGACAATGATCAGGTATAAATCAACAGTTAAAGAGTTCTGAGTCTGGTCTGAGGGCGCCATGGAGAAACTCCATGACTGTTTTGAATGCTCTGGCTGCAAGACCTTCAAGGCTGCAGCAACATATGACAACTTATTAAATATTGATGAGTATGCCATGACTGTGTCAGCCTACATTAACAAATGCATTGAGGACGTCAGCATCAAAAAGAACATCACATCCCGGACCAACCAACCACCCTGGATAAATGGAAAGGTTCGGAAATCGCTAAAAGCACAGAACTCAGCTTTCAAGTCTGGTGATAAGGAGGCACTAAGAACAGTGTGTGCCAACTTAAACCGTGCAATCAGATCAGCGAAGCAGAACCATAGCCAGAAGATCCAGGATCTTTTCCATGACAACAGCAACACCAGGAGGATGTGGAAAGGCATTCGGATGATCACAGACTACAACACACCCTCCCCCCCGGTAGATGCAGCAAACACTGACTTCCTAAATTAACTGAACAACTTCTTTGAACGGTTTAAAGCACTAATCAGCACTCCAGCTGTGAAAGCTGTTCAACACCAGGGGGAGGAGACACTAAACCTGGACGTACTGTACCTGAAGTGAGGAAAACTCTGAGGAGAGTCAATCCAAGGAAGGCCCCAGGGCCTGATAACATACCTGGGCGGGTGTATAAGGAGTGTGCAGATCAGTTGGCTGGTGTCCTCACAGACATTTTTAACACCTTGCTGCACCAATCCATAGTGCCAGCATGCTTCAAGTCTGCCACCATTATTCCAGTCCTAAAGAAGTCTCAGGTCACCTCACTCAATGATTACTGACTCCAATCATGATGAAGCTCTTCGAAAGGCTGGTTAAAGAACACATTGTCTCCTGTCTGCCGCCAACATTCGACCTATTCCAGTTTGCCTACTGGCGAAACCGCTTCACTGAGGACGCCATCTCTGCTGCCCACCACCTGGGCCTGGCACACCTGGAGGAGAAGAACACTCACATGTGGATGATGTTCCTGGACTTCATTTCAACTTTCAAAACCATCATCCCACAGCATCTGATGGGCAAACTGAAACAGCCGGGCTTTAATACACCCCTCTGCAATTGGCTGCTAGACTTCCTCACCAACAGACCTCTGTCAGTCCGGGTTGGACAGTACACCTCTGTAATCACTCTAAGCACAGGCTGCCCTCAGGGGTGCGTCCTGAGCCCCCTGCTGTTCATGTTGATGACGCATGACTGCATCCCCAGATTCACCACCAATCACATCATGTAGTTTGCAGACGACACCACGGTGGTGGGCCTCATCAGAGACCAACGACCTGGACTACATAGAGGAGGTGGATTGGTGCAAAGATAACAGCCTGATCCTGAATATGGAGAAGAAGAAGGAGATCATCTTGGACTTCAGCAAGAACCGGCTTAACCACGCTCCACTGGTCATCAATAGCTCAGCTTTAGAGGTGGTCAACAGCACCAAATTCCTGGGGGTTCACATCACAGACACCCTCACCTGGAATGTAAACACTACTTCACTGGTCAAAAGGGCACAGAAGAGCATGTACTTCTTGCTGAGGATGAGGAGAGCCCTCCTACCCCCAACTATCCTCACCACCTTCTACAGAAGCACCATAGAGAGCGTTCTGACCAGCTGTCTCATTTTGTGGTGTCGAGGCTGCAGCGTCTCAGACTGGAAGAAAGGGAAAAGAGGGGTGAGAACAGCAGCGAAGATCATCGGGGCTCCTCTTCCCTCCATAAAAGACATTTCATCTCATGAACTGTTCTCCCTGCTGCCCTCTGCGAAGAGGCTTCAATGCATTGGTTGCAGGTCCAGCAGATTCTACAACAGTTTCTTCCCCACTGCTGAATGTTTTCTAAAATTGGTTATTGTATTGCATTTTATATATATATGAAAATGTTAGAACTGTAAATTTACATTTATATGTTTATATTATTGTTTTTTATATATTTTTTGTTTTTATGTATTTTTATTACCTTTTTCCAAGGCTGAACTTTGAATGGTATCTAATGGTATCTGAGCTGTTCCAAACTAAATTTCTTTTTGTTTTACAATTGTGTAAACAAAATGACGAATCTGTCTAAGTCTAAATAAAGTTGAAGATAATAAATAAATAAGGTAATTATTACAGAGTGAATAAATAAAGAAGCCAATTAAAAGAGATATATAAATTTATGTCTCACTGTATAATTTAATTTCTCCCTACATTTATTTGTTTATTGTATTTTTGGGAACAATTAATTGTATACTTATTTATTTATCAGGCATTTATTTATTTCTGTATTTATTTGTATTTATTTTTAAATATGGTAGAGCTGGTCCTCCATAGATCATTACTTACCTGCTCTCTGTTTTACTTTTGGGGGAAAATTTGCTGCTTGGCAGAGGTCTGTGGCATCTGAATGCTTTTCGAGTTATAAATGTTGTTGACATTTTTTTCTATAAAAATACATTTTACAAAAGCTTCTTGGATGTCACAAAAAAATCATAGCATATAAATGCAGCATATTTAGTTCATACAAGGGAAATATTTTGACCCAAAGTAGCCTATATTCGTATCTAAAAAATTTCAAGGTTTTTCAAACTAATAAAGTATTGGATGTATTTTTTTTTTTTTTTTTTTTTACACTTTTCAATAGTTTGGAAAAAGGAAAAATATCATATATTTCAAATCCATTAAGGCTAAACATGTCATAAGAAAGAAGGCATAAATGCTGACCAAAAACCTCTTATATCTTTTTTGAAGCTATGAATCAGCTGTGATTGACTGAGTTGTGAGTTAAAACCCTTGAATTAATAAACAAAGGTATTGAATATCCATATAATCACATATTTAAGGCTTTAAATCAAGGAGAATGTTATCTTTAGTAAAAGCAACAACATTCCTCTCCTCAGCAATTATGAGTTTGCTTGATGTAGTTATTTATTGTTTGATCAAAGGCTTTATCAGGGTAGAATCCTAAAATTAGATTAGATTTGAACAGCTATGACATATGATAGAAAGGTCTAAACATTACAGCTGCACAGAAAAAGTTCACATGAAGGAGTAAAAATGTTCTTGTTTTTCATTCACAGCTGTTCTGATCTATGGAAAAGTTGGTGGCTCCATTGTTCTGAATCCAGGTCAGATTTCAGAGACCATCCTGACAGCAACATGGAAGCACAACACAGACCTTGCCTTGGAGTGGTTTGGGCAGGAAATTTATAGTTACAGAAGTTTTCAAGGTAATTTGATTTCTTGACCAGAACATCTTTTGAAACCTTAAAACCTGCAGATTAATACCATCCATGATTTCTTTATCTGATTCAGGTCGTTGTGACTTTGATAAAACAAGTGGAAGTTTGACCATCAACAGTCTGACTCTAGAGGACAGCGGCAGCTACATACCTGAGATCAACAACAAGGTTCTGGAGAAGAAGGAACTCCAGGTTATCAGTGAGTTCAGCAGGTTTGACTGAGGTTTGTTAGGTTTTAACCTGAATCAAGTTGAGATAATCTTTTTCCGTTTCTGTCAGAACCGGTCCCAAAACCCACAGTGTCCATAAAGTACAACCATGAGAAGACCAGCTGCCATCTCACCTGTGAAGCCCAAGTCACTGCTGACTTTGGACCTGTGACGTATAAATGGAAAACAGGTGACACAGAGTTGTCCACCGACAAGGAGCTGCTGATAACAACGGTATGAGGATGAGAAACCCTGGAAGAACTCAGTAGAACCTTCATGGTTTGGTTTAGAGCTGTTTTCTATTTATTTCTCAGGAGAATAAGGAAAGCTCCTTTTTCTGTGAGTTGGTAAACCCTGTCAGCAGCAGCTACAGTGAAACAGTGGAAAACCCCTTTATCAGAGGTGAGAGGAAAACATCCCCATTGTCAGACTTGGTTGTTGTAGACCGTAATTAACACTGATACACTGAGAAAATTTTATTAAGTCCTTCAAGCAGAAACTGTTTTACGCAATGCAACGTGAAAGATGGACTGATGACCTGATGAATACTGGCAAATGGATGAGAGCTTAAGTAGAGGCCTACTAGCTGCTAACTAGAAGGCTCTGTCTGAGGGAGAAATGGTCTGACAGGAAAACTAAATTTAAAGAAAGGACTAAGAGAAGGAATTCAACATTTAAGAAGTGATTAATAAAAAAAAGTAAAGACAAACTAAGAGAAATAGACTAAAAACAACTAGTACTGTAAAGCATAAAGAAATATAACTAATATGGCAAAACCCACAGTAAGAAAAAAAAAAATGAATATGGCAAGGCTCAATCACAAATGTAATATCGGGCTTAAGCCAAAGTAAAACTCAGAATTGTATTAAGTAAAAAATAATAAAACAAGAAAAGACTCCAAATAGAAAATATAACCTTAATAATTAAATAAAAACTAATAGTTAAGGCTCAAAATAAAGATAAGAGAAAACTAAGAAGCAAAAGTTAATAAAAAGACTCTAAAGAACAACAAACTATGACACCAATCTTCATATTGGGATTATTTGTGATGCAGTGCTGTTGAAATGAATAGATCTCATAAAAGATTTAGTTTTGAAACGGAGACCGTCTTAGTTAAGTCTTTGTTTTATAGTTAAATCATGACCTTTGACCTTGATTGAAGTGCAGTTAAACCTTCAGAGGTCTGGATGATGATCTGACTTCCACTGTGGCCTCCTGGATGACCCATTAATGATCTTTTGGAATAATTCTTTTGTTTGGCCTCTAATCTAGAAGTTCTCCGTGTTCCATCTGTTCTCTATCTGTGGATAACGTCTCTGACCGTGGTTCTCTCTAGACAGGAACCTTAGAAATGCCTTTGGTACCATTTCCACACTGATACATGTCAGTGTCTTTGCTTCTCATCAGTTCCTCAATTTCATTTTAGTGGGTTCTGATTGGCAGATTTTTATGATCTTTTAAAATAATGTTGTCAGACAAGTTCTGTTTGAATGGTTTGTGGATTCTGTAGGTTTGGTAGGAATCGGATCTGAGAAATTAAACTAACCCAAAATGTACTCAGAGTTATTTCAATATTTACCAGGGAGGATAATTACTTTCTCACATCACAGCAGGTTGGTTTGACTTTTGTTCACTTAGTAAATTAAATCCTTATTTTTGAACTGCTTTGTGTTTTTATTTTGATTATTTTTCATTAAAATTTGTTTGATGTTATAAAACATTTTAAAAAGGAGATCAAAATCATACAAAATCTGTAAGTCAGTGAATACCTTTTCACAGCACTGTACGTAGGTGAACGAGGCCCATAGTGAAGGAATGGAAATAAAATCATAGATTGTTTGAAAAAAAAAAAATTACAAACACAAATTACAAAAATTACATATGTTTATTTCTTTTGCCGCATCTCTGCAGATTTTTACATCCGGTCTGGACTTTGACTAGGCCATTCCAACACATCACTAAGCTTAGATCTAAACCAGGCATATTTAGGGTTATCTCCCTAATTAAAGGTGAACATCCAGCTCAGTCTGGGGTCTTATTCAGCCTCTGATATTTCCTCCTACATCTGAGAAGAAGCTTCCACTGAGCATGATGCTGCCGCCACTGTGGTCTAAAAGCAATAGACTTTGAGAGTTTATAGTTTTAATGATTAACTTCTTTATTTCAGAGAATCCAGGGTCAACAGCAGTTATACCAGTTGTGATTCTTCTCCTGATTGTAGCTGCAATTGGAGCTGCTTTTTTTTATGTTTACAAAAAAGGTGAGAAAACACAAATGCATTACATTTGTAATTAACTTTTTTTTTGGTCTGAGTGTTTCTAGGAAGTGTGGTTATATAAACAGCATGCTTATAAGATTCTCCTCCCTCAACAAACTATGATTAGGTTTAAGTTTATGTAAGGTAAACCTAAACTATACTTCAGACACGGATTACCTAAAACTGTTTTTGCATCTATTGCAGGACATTTCCAAAGGTTGAGAAAAAAGCGTAAGTTACTAAATCCTCTGTATATGTTTTCAGTACTCATATAAGTGATCTTGAAAATATAAGGCTTTTTTTAATACAGGGGGGTTAAATAAAGACGAACCAACTAGTAAGTAAAACATTGTTCTCATAAATATTGTTTATTTTTTTAATAATATTGATTGTTTGGTTACACCATAAATAATAAGTAAATAAGAAAAGTTGCATCGCGTGGAGGTCGGGAACAGTCCCCCTGAATTGGCAGACTGGGGTGGTGGTTCCCCTCCATAAGAAGGGGGACCGGAGGGTGTGTTTCAACTATCAGGGAATCACACTTCTCAGCCTCCCCGGAAAGGCCTATGCCAGGGTGCTGGAGAGGAGAGTCTAGCTGATTGTCGAACCTCGGCTGCAGGAGGAGCAGTGTGGTTTTCGTCCTGGCCATGGAACAGTGGACCAGCTCTACACCCTCTGCAGGGTGCTTGAGGGTTCTTGGGAGTTTGCCCAACCAGTCCACATGTGTTTTGTGGACTTGGAGAAGGCATTCGACCGTGTCCCTCGTGCTGCCCTGTGGGGGGTGCTCCAGGAGTATGGAGTCGGGGCCCTTTATTAGGGGCCATCCGTTCTCTGTACAAGCGGAGCAGTAGCCTGGTTCGCATTGCCGGCATTAAGTCGGACCTGTTCCCGGTGCATGTTGGACTCCGACAGGGCTAACCTCTGTCACCGGTCCTGTTCATAACTTTTATGGACAGGATTTCTAGGCGCAGCCAAGGACCGGAGGGGGCCTGGTTCTGGACCAGCGGATCTCGTACCTGCTTTTTGCGGATGACGTAGTTCTGCTGGCTCCCTCTGCCTCCTGTCCGAGGCCATGGTTCTCGACCATGGCCATGGTTCTCGACCAGAAAAAGGTGGCTTGTCCCCTTCAGGTTGGAGGAGAGTCCCTGCCTCAAGTGGAGGAGTTCAAGTATCTTGGGGTCCTGTTCACGAGTGAGGGAAGAATGGAGCGGGAGATCGATAGACGGATCGGTGCGGCTGCAGCAAAAATGCGGACGCTGCACCGGTCTGTCGTGGTGAAGAGAGAGCTGAGCGAAAAGGCAAAGCTCTCAATTTACCGTTCGGTCTACGTTCCTACCCTCACCTATGGTCATGAAATCTGGATCATGACCAAAAGAACGAGTTCCCGGATACAAGCGGCTGAAATGAGCTTCCTCCACAGGGTGGCTGGGCTCTCCCTTAGAGATAGGGTGAGGACCTCGGTCATTCGGGAGAGGCTCAGTGTAGAACCAGTTCTCCTCCACATCGAGAGTAGTCGGTTGAGGTGGCTCGGACATCTTCTTCGGATGCCCCCTGGACGCCTCCCTCGGGAGGTGTTCCAGGCACGTCCCACTGGGAGGGGACAACCCAGGACACGCTGGAGAGACTATGTCTCTCGGCTGGCCTGGGAGCGCCTAGGGCTTTCCCCAGCAGAGCTGGAGAAGGTGTCTGCGGAGAGGGAAGTCGGGGGAGTCTCTGCTTAGTCTGCTGCCCCCGCGACCCGGTTCCGGATAAAGCGGGAGACGACGAGTACGAGTATGAGAAAAGATGATTCATAATGTCTGAGCATGAAAACACATCCCTATTTAGTGGACTGTAAATTAATTTTTCCTTTTTGTTCTGCTACCGTACATGCTCCGCCTTAAAGGAAATCAAATATGTTCCATTAAAAAAATGTCTCATTTTGCAGTGTAACATTTTGTTCAAACTACATTTATGTATCATGCTGTCATCTATTTTCTGAAAAGCATCAGTCCCTTCCTGCAGCAAAACATCCCACATTATTATGCTGTCACCACCTTGCTTCACAGCTGGATGGTGTTCTCTACTAGCCTTTTTCCTCAAATTTGTATCAGTGATGATTATGATGAAATCATTTTCATCAGACCACAGGACATGGGTCCAAAAATCTACAACTTTGCAAGCTGGACTTCATGCTGCATTAAGAGGAATGATCTATAACTGATCTGCTGAGCTAAAACTGAAAATCTATTATATTTATCTCTATCCTAGATGGAGATGATGTTGAGGCTGGAACAGGTAAGTCAGTTTATTTGCTGCCCAACATTTAAGACAACAAAATTCTCAAATGCAGTATTTTCTTTAAATATATGATTTTTGAGGGCCTTCCAGGCTGCATCCATTAATTGAAATTGAAAAAAATTAAAGCTGAAATAAAAGCACACATTTTATTATGTTTCACATTAACTGTTGGTCTTTCTTGACAGAAAAGTCATTTCCTGACAAAATTGCTACAGCTGGTGAGAATGATGATTATTTTCCTT